TCCGTTAACCCTGTCCTTTCCCAGAAGGGGAAGGAGAGGAGAAAAGGGAGAGAGACTGATGGGTTGGAAAGTTAAAACAAACTTTAACAAAGCAGTAACAGTGAAAAAGAGTATAAATAATATTAAAACTATACTACTACTACTAATAGAAATAATAGAAATATACAAAACCAGTATTGATGTTCCAAATGATGACCATGGCAGCTTGCAGTGCTCACGCGGCAGGGCAGAGATCCAGATGTCCTGGACTGGGCTCCGCAGGAGACAGAATCCAGATTCAGGGATGCACAGATCAGGGTCGGAGGCAGGAGAGTGAGCAGAGTCCCACCAGGATGCTGCTCATGAGGGAAAGAGGACCCCCGTGACCCCTGAGCTTTATACTGAGTATTCACATGAGTGGGATGGAATACTGCATTGGTCAGTCCTTGGTCACCTGTCCCTTCTGCATCTTCCTGGGGGTGCAACCCTTTTCTGCCTTCCCCCCACGAGGAGTCCAAGAGAGCCCGCAGGGAACAAGCACACACACATGGGCCCTTCTGCATAACAATCCCACTTCTGCCCCACCAACAACTGCAGACATTAAGTGTCATCAACTCTGAAAGCAGGCATTGCCTGAAAAACCTGTAGTGAGGTTCAGAAAGTTCAGTTACTAAAAAACTTAACTGAAGGAAAAAAAAAAAAACAAACACACACTACTGAAAGGAGAAACGGTCCTGTTTTAGCCAAACCAGGACACAAGCCTACATACATGAGTTCTAGAGACCTGAATGAAGACATGCATCTGTGCATCAAAGATGAGGAAGCATAGCCTCCTGCTGTCAACTTTGGCCAGGCTTTGGGGCAGACTGCTTACCTTCTCAGCAAGGGTTATTTTTCCAGCTCTGAGGATGATTATAGTCCCATTCAGTGAAACACCCAGCTTCTGTATCTTCTCAAAATCAGCTTTCAGTCCGTAGTTGACATGGACTGGCTTGCCCTGGAACAGAAACACTGGTTATAAATGCACCAGTCCTATGTCAGGAAGATACCTGAAACAGCCTACGGAGTCACAGTAACAATGACCCCTGTTAAGAGTAGGGAGTTCAAGCTCATTAGTGTAAACTCTGATCACACACGACATGCCTGCTGGAGCAGCACTTCTGTCAAGGTTCCTGTCTAGATCCCAGCAGAGAAGTTTAAACAGTTACTTCTGCATCTTGCTGAAGTAATACAACTAGGTGGGCCCACTCCTCACCCCACTCTCACCACCACCACCCCCAGCTCTCTAACTGAAGAGGGCTTTATACACTCCATATCTTGTAGGGACATATTTTGGACATTGCCACCTGCTAAGCGTGCAAGCACTTTTCCAGGATCTTCTTGAAGTCACTTACAACAACTGAGCCACTCTTGCTGTATGCCACATATGCATCGGGACTCTCCAGTTCCTCCTCTTCACCATCTTTCAGGACAGATACTTTGTTGTTGCTACTGTGAAATGTAAAGAGACAAATGCTGACGTCTAAGACAAGTAGCAGAAAGAATCTCTGCTTCCAAGTCTCTTAGTCCTCTCCCAATAAGACCTAAGCAAATTCATTTCCGCCCCAACACAAAGGGGCAAGTAAGACATGAGGGTATGAGCTGTCAGCCAACACAATCCCTGTTGATACCAATACCCTACTGAGCTACTATAGGAGCCACTGTCAGGTCTGTAACACCTGTCTGGGTGACAAGACAGTCACCCATGCTAGCAGCTTTAGACACAGGGAATCTGCCTTTCATCTGAGTTTTTGCTCAAGTTTGTTTTCTCTCCACTTCCTAAGCATGGTTTGAGGAAACAGCTGGCCCCAGAAAAATCAAGAAGGCTGCTACCAGACCCCCTGGATTTAGAAAGCCTGAGAAGAGACAGAGGCAGTTACAGCTTGGTTCAACTGAGGCTGCCTTTGGAGAGGCATAACTGGTTCAGAATTATAGCACTGCTTTCAGCAGAAATCACATGTTTGCTCAAGACAACAGATACCCATGCCGTAAGGAAGAGATCTGCATCTGTTCATTAACGTACCTGCCTTTGACCTGCAGCTTGACATAGTGCTCATCATTCCACACTTCATCCAAGCGGAAGCTGGTGAACTGGTCATGAATGTAACTGGCAATGCTCTCATCTTCACTCTGGCCAGCTTCGAAAGAGTACTTATTTGCTCTTTGCCTGCAGGTAACAGATATATAGCTTAGGCTACAGCACCAGGTTGCACTGCAGTCCTCCTGCCTGCAAACCCAAGCTGGATGGGCCATTTAAGCCCATGTTTAACCACCCCACTTCATCTTTAAGGCCCTTGTTCTCCAAAGGAGCTCAATTTCTGCTCACATGCTGTGCCTCTCATACCTGCAGCTAAACTTTCTGGAACGGTTACCTCAGGTTGTCCTCAAGACGTCTGCCTGACAGCTTATTTGACAACAGGGCTCTGAGCTCAGGCCAGTATAAGACAGGTGGTCCAGGAACCTCTTCTTCATCAGTTCCATCACCATCCACTAAGTAAGATGCGGTAGGAGTCATCTCACACTTGCCACTTCCATCCAGACACCCGCTAGCCTTCTGTGCTGATCCACAATAAGCAAAGTAGCCGATCAAAAACCCTATGAACAGAACAGGTATTTCTTTGTGCTGCAGAAAGATGGCTAAACCAGCCCCACACCATAGAAGTGCATTCAAAGCAGCTTCAGGGTTAAGATGCATCTCTGCTCTCACACCATTTTTGACAAGCTGGCATACCTAAAGACAGACAGGAATATACACTCTGACATTTTGCCTGAGCTGGCATGTTTTAAGGTACACTGTAAATCTGATCTTGTGCTTGGCAGAGTCTTTCCAACACTGCTTGAGAATGAGAATGCCTGCTTTAGGTCAGTGGTACTGCTAAAACCCTTGAGAGGTGAGCACCAGAGGTTTTACTGATATGTTGACCCACATCTCTAGAGAAGTGTCATGAGTTAATTGAGGGAAAACCAGTACACTTGCCACATGGACCAGCCTGCCCTTTAGCTAAGTCACAGTTCCACTGTCAAGCTTCACACATCTTTGTGCCAATTCGGTATCATAAGTCTAAGCTAGACATAGAGTTAGTGACACGAGGCTGCAGCCTGGATCCAAACAATATTATTACCTCCTGAAACAATACAGATTCAAGTGTTAACTGCCTCAGATATGCTCAATACTAGAGTCCACATTACGCAGTTGTCTCCCACCCTTCCTTACCAAAAAGGAAGATGACAGCTACGACGACTGTGAAGCAGAGTTTCTTGCCAATCCTCAATAGAGGAGGCGTGCTGGCATGCGGGTGCTCTGGTCTCCCAATTTCCCCTCCTTCCTCATCATCAGCAGACAGCTTCATCTCCACATGGCTGTTTTCTCCATCTGTTTGCCGGGCAATACTGAAGCGTGTGTACGACATCGGCTCACCACCAAACTGTGTTGAAAGACAGATATGTGATGGAAGAGTTTGCCACACCAGCCCACAGTCCTGGCAGTCAGCTGCACCTGCGCTCCAAATAAAATAAGCTTTTTTATCTGAAACTGCTCCAGTATAGCCTGAGCATGTGGCTGTCAGTAAGTCATGCTGGCTGCTTTGAACAGACTCTGGAGACCCTGAGTGGGTCTGAGTCTATTTAGCACATTTGCCCTGCACAAGTTCAGAGCCACACTGGTCAGAGTCTAGCTTGCAGTCTGTTACAGATATGACACAGCCAATGTCACCGGCATTTCCCATGTAACCCCACGGCAGAGGCTGACTGAGACAGAAACTCCTGGTCTCAATGAGGAGTGCGTTGATCTGACGCAAACACGTGCAACTTGCACAGAAGGAAACTTTGGTCAGGACAGAGGAAAGGGAAGCCAACTCCTCCATGGCTGTGCCTTTGAGCCACATTCACTTTGACGTAAATACTCTCATCCAGCATCTAGATAATCTTGTATTAAACTGCCCCAGGCTACTCTTAAATTACACTATTGATGAGTATTATAAAGCAGCTATGCTGAAGAGAGATGGCCCATGGGAATCCTGCTACCTCAACTAACATGAAAGCTGAGGATACACTTCCCGCTTCCACCAGCGACTGGAACCGTTTGGTAGGTGTTTATCAGCGCCCAAGCAGAGTAGCTTTCAGTCTGAAGCTTACTTTTCTACACAGCTGCAACGCACAGTCCAACTGCCCACAGAACAGCAGCGCATGTGCAAGGCAGTCGCTCAGATTAACAGACAGTCAAACTCAATTCCAGGCGTAGCCAGGCACTGAACAGAACCACTCAGCTTCCATTAGAGCCGCTGAACTTGCCTGTGGCCACAGCTGTGCTGGGAACAGGCAGGAGACTGGCTAAAAGGCCAGAGGAATAATTTTGGGAGCAACAGTCCTGCAGCCCCCCTCCACTGTAGTGGAGAAGCAGCTGGTGGCAAGCAATCAAGTCCTGTTACAATCTCAGCAGCTCATCCACAGTTCTCAGCTCACTCTCAAGCTACAAATCAGCAGCTGGAGGTGACAAGACCAGACATCAGCTTGGTTGGTCAAAACTAAACCAACGTCATTTCAGACCTGCAGCTCCATTCTGGCCTACGCTACCCGCAATGAAGTGGCTGGCTGCCCACATTTTGGAAAGGGCAAGACTGCAGTTTATCCAGTCTCCCTGCTCAGCTGCTGGATAGCTTGATTTCCCTCAGACTTTGCAGAGGATATGCCTCAACCCCACATACCTCCATACTTGTTCAGAGACCAAATCATCACATTTGCAGTCCTAGCCTAGGGTCATTTCATAGTTTAAGCTCTCTAGGACTGGCAGGTTTGGCTAAGCAAGCTCAGAGCTACCTCCCCCAGCATATTTGCTTCAAAGTACAGGTCGCATTCAAAGGCTGGATTCGTGGTTGAATTCCCACCCCCAAAGTAACATAATAGAACACATGTTGATTGTCCTGATAGGCATTTAATCAGCTTCCTCAACAGCACTTCCTCCTGAAACATTGTTCAAGGCCTACCCCTGGTCCTTATCAGCTTCCTCAGAGACCCAAGACATGGTAGCAGTTAACGATAACCCCACCAGCAAGCTTAAGCCCCCTCCTTATCATGGCCAGCTAGCTACAGTGACGTTTGGCTCGCAACCCACACAGAAGCACCCAACACTGCTTTGGATTTGCCATCTTCTCTGATACTGACATGGACGTTGTTGAACCTTCTGCATTATCGTCAGCCCACCAAGAGACAAATGTCACACGGGGACTGTGTCTTACCAAGTTAGAGATTGCTGCTCTGGCATGGTCCATTGCCTTCTGGAGGAGTACCCACCAACTTGACCAAAGCCCTAGAATTCAGAACACAAGTCAAGTCAGGCTGTTCCCCTAAAAAAAAAGTCAGTCACTGCCACTACTGCATGCTTCTATGTAAGTCACAATGTTGGTGAACCTATGTCAACCTTGAATGCAATCTAGAAGTTCACATACTCCCACTGAACATAAAAGTTCTGATGAACAAACTATTTCTACGGACCTCTAGGGATGGCAGGCACAATGCCATAAGGTACACTCCTACCCTGCCAAAACACTTCCAATTGCAAGGTCCATTCTAGATAGCTATATTCTTTATCACTTTATATTTTTATATATATAATATACATAATATATTCATATATAGTATACATAATATATTAATTAGATTATTAATATATAAAACATAT